CTCCGGCTCCGGTCCGAGGAGGACAGCGAGATCCGGAACCTGGACGCGGAGGAGGTGCAGGAGAAGATCAACGAGATGTACGCCCTGCGCGAGATGCAGTGCGTGCGGCCGGGCATCGGCGAGAAGGGCCGCTGGCACTACCAGGGCGCGGGCGCCAAGGTCGCGCGCGGCGAGATCGCGTCCGTGAAGCGGTTCCCGCTCCCGACGGGCCGGCGCCACAAGGATTTGAGGCGCCGCGTCCACAAGCTCCAGGTCGCCCAGCGCAACTGGCAGATCACGAAGCTCGGGCGGGCGGAGATTCTAGGCGGCGACGACGTGTCCGCGGCCGCGTCGTCGAGCGACGACGACGCGGCCGCGGCCGCGGCGCCGGGCGCGGCCGCGGCCGGCGGCGGCGGCGACGACGACGCGCCGGGCGGCCTGGGCGGCGGCGACGCCTTCGTCGAGTGCCGCGTGCTCATCGGCCGGCTCCGGGCCCACGAGTCCGAGGAGAACGAGCGCACGCGCGCGCGCCTCGGCAAGCTCCACGGCGACCCCCAGGGCAGGACAAGAGAGCGAAATTCCCAACTTCAAAGCCTCATATCTCGGCCGTTTTCCACTCGTTTCGGCTGATTTTTGGACGAGCGATCATCTCTCGGAACGCTCTCGAAGCATGGATGCTTTAATTGGAACGAGCGCGCGCGGAACACTCACGTTGAAGCGACGTTGAATCTCTCTTGTCCTGCCCAGGCGACCCCATGAGCCTCGCGACGGACGCGGCCGAGGTCGCCGCGGCGCTGGCCGCGCGGCGGTCGCGGGACCGGCGCAAGCGGTCCGGCGCCGCGAAACAGCGCGCGGCCATCGGCGACGCGGAGCGGCGGCGCGCGGCCGACGAGACCATGGAGGAGAAGCGCGCGCGGCGCCTCGCGGCGGCGGCCGCGCGGGACCGCGCGGCCGTCGAGGCCGCGCGCCGCGAGTGGGTCGACGTCGTCACGCTGGCCCGGTGCACGCTCCGCCTCCGGGGCGGCTGGCGCGCGGTCGTCGACGCGCGGCGGCGGCGCCAGGAGCAGGCGGGCTTCGCGATGATCCGCGCGCGGTTCCGCGCGCCGCTCGCGCGGTGGCGGCGCCGCGTCGCGCGGAACACGCTCCGCTGGTTCCTCGGGCGGCTCCACACCATCGAGGCCTTCCGCAAGGCCATCAAGACCTACTTCCGCGTGGTCCGCATGGTCCAGGGCACGTGGCGCCGGCGCACGCTCCGCGTCCGCGCGTCGCTCCGCCTCTGCAAGGTGCAGTGGGACCGCGTCTTCTTCTCGAGGCCCGACGTGTCCGAGCCCCTGCCGGACCAGATCATCGACCGCGCGCTGCGGAATTTGATCCACTCCGTCCACAACCAGACGACGAAGAAGTTCGGCAAGCTCTTCGGCGCGTCGATCCTCGACAAGCAGGAGAACCTCTTCCCGACGAAGGAGCTCGTCGAGGACGAGGTCATGCTCAACCACATCAACATGATCGAGTCCTACGTCCGCCAGAAGGTCCCGGGCTGGACGTTGCCGGGCGAGGAGCCAAACGCCGGCGCCGTGAGCCACGACGACATCGAGCACACGAAGCTCGGGGGCCTCGTCAAGCAGGTCCGCAAGACCCGCGCGCGGACCAAGCGCCCGCCCCCGCGCCCGAAGCCGGGCGCCTTCAAGACGGGCACGCCCGCGGCGGAGTAAGGCCGCGCGTCGAGGGGCCTCCAGCCTCGAGGGCCGACCAGGGGGGCCGGGCACCGCTCGAGCACTGGCACTTCAGCTTAGGCCGCCAGAAACTTCAAGAAGGCAGGGCATGCACGAGCAATAGCGGGCGCTTCCGCTTCCCACATCTCGCGTCGTCGGGCGCCCAGGACGGGAGCTTGCTCGTCTCCGGCGCGCAGCCCGTGCCCACGGCCATGTACCAAAGCTAGAGAGGCCCCATGGGCGCCGCGGTGAGCGTCGACGCCGTCGCCCTCACGCAGGAGCTGGACGACGTCCTGCCGAAAACCCCCCGGGGCAGCCCCGACGTCGCGCGGTGCGACCGCGACAAGGTGATGGCCGTCGTCGACAAAGCGATGCCGCGGATCCGTGAGCAGTACGACGCCGCGTGGGCCTTCTACTCGCGGACGTCGGGCCCCGCGGCGCGCGGCACGAGCGACCTCCTCGAGTCGAGCGCGGCGCTCGAGGCCGACTTCTCGCCGGCCGAGCCGCCGCGCTGCGCGCTGCCGCCCGGCGCGACCGTCGAAGTCCTGCTCCTCGAGGCGAGCACGCACGGCGAGGCCCTGCTCCGGGGCATGGAACGCATCGCCTCGGCGTCGGGCGGCGCGTTCCACGCGGGCCCGCGGAAGAAGGCCGCGCGCATCGCCGAGAAGGCCGCGGCGGATTACGAGGGCGACGTCGCGCGGGTGATCGACGTCGAGCGCGCGACCGTCGTGTTTCAGTCCGCGGAGGACTTCAACTACGGCATCTCGCTCGCGCGAGCCGCGGCGCGGCGCGGCGACGTGGCCCTCAGCCGGTGCAAGGACCGGCTCCCCGGCGTGGGTGGGTCCGGGTACCGCGACCTCGTGCTCAACATGGCGCGCGAGGGCTTCGTGGGCGAGTGCCAGTTCACGCTCGGCCGCGTCTTCGACGTCAAGAAGTACTCACACCGCATCTATTCCATCGCGCGCGTCCTCGAGGGCGGCGGCGACGACGAAGCGCTGCGGCGCGCGCTCGGCGGCGCGGGCCTCGAGTCCGAGCAGGCGCTCCGGCTCTACGTCGACGGGGAGGGCGCGGTGCTCGACGCGTGCGGCTCCGTCGCCGCGCTGCAGAAGGCCCTCGCCCGGGCGCTGCCCCGGGGCTGCGACGTCGCGAACGTCTACGCGGCGCCCGTCGTCGCGGCGCCGTGGACCGAGCGCGTCGCGCTCCGCGTCGACCCGAGCGCGCCGCTCGGAGTGTCGTTCGACCGCGGCGGGGCCGTCAAGAGCCTCAAGCCGTCGTCGCCGCTCCTGGAGGCGCTGCGGGCGTGCCGGGCGCGCGGCGCGCTCGCCGACGTCGCGGCGCGGCCCGAGGCCGACCCCGACCATCCGCGCGTCCTCGAGGGCTGGCGTGTCGCCCGCGTCGGCGAGGTCCCGATCGACGGCCTCGAGGACTTGCGCGAGGTCCTCGGCGGCCTCAAGCGGTCCGGCGCCGGGCCCGTCGACGTCGTCCTCCGACCGCCCCCCGCGAGCGCCGGCGACGTCCGCGTCCGCCTGGGCGTCGACGACGTGTCCGGCGTCGCCGCGCTCCGCGACGCCGTCCTCCTGCGCCAGTCGTTCCAGCGGCGGCTCAACAAGGCCCTCGGCGCGGCGCCGGGCACGGTCCGCGTCGACCGCGCGGCCTTCGTCGACGCCTACGCGCGGCTCATGATGCGCTTCACGAAGCTGACGCCGCACCAGCGCCAGAAGCTCGAGGCCTCGAAGCGCGCCGACGCCTCGCTGCTCCTCGCGCCCGCGGGCGGCGGCAAGACCTTCGTGGCCATCCAGCGCATGCTCGAGGTCCTCGACGCGGGCGGCGAGCGCGTGCTCTTCGTCGCTCGGAACGCGTCGCTCGCGTTCTTCGCCGCCAAGTGGCTCGTCGTCGCGTCGCGGACCTCGGCGGCGGCCGTCGTTGACCGCCTGCGGGTCCTCGTCGCGCCCTTCGAGCGCGGCCCCCGGCGGCTCCGCGTCGAAGCGGCGGGGCGGCGCCAATGCCTCGCCCTCGAGGCCGCGGCGGACGGCGACGACGACGCGCGCTACGGCCTCGTCGTCGTCGACGAGGCGCACCACCTCGTCGGCGACGGCGAGCTCCGGTCGCAGCTCGACGCCGTAACAAAAGACGCGCCGCTCCTCTTCCTCGGCGACGCGTCCCAGGCGACGGCGACGCTCGACGGCGAGGCCCTGGTCCGCCGCCTCGTCGACCTGCCGCCGTCGCGGGCGGTCGCCGTCTGCGCGCTGTCGGAGGTCGTCCGCAGCACGAAGCGCATCGTCGCCGGCGCCGCCGCGTTCCAGCTCGCCGCGGGGCGCAAGGCGGATACGCTCAGCCACACGGCCTCCGACGGCCCGCCCCTCGTCGCGCGCGTCTTCGCCGCGCCGGACGACGGCGTCCCCGAGCGCTACGCGGCCGAGGTCGTCGCCGCGCTCGAGACGCTCCGGACCCAGCTCCACGGCGTGAACCTCGACGACCGCGTCGCCATCGTCTGCCCCGACGACACGTTCCTCGGGGAGCTCCGGGCGCCGCTGACGGCCGCGCTCGCGGCCGCGGGCAGCTTCGAACTCGTCGCCGCGGCCCGGGCGAGCGCGACGCTGCCGCGGGACGACGACGACGCCGCCGCCGTCGCGGGGCCGCAGTGGCTCGTCTTCGACACCATGGCGAACCTCGACGGCCTTGAGCGCCTGATCGTGATCTGCGTCGGCCTCGACCAGGTCATCTCCGCGGACGCGACGGCGTCGGAGACGCGGTCTCGGCTCTACCGGGCGATGACGCGCGCGCAGTTGGCGGTCGCGGTCGTGAACGCGGCCCTGAGCGGTGGCTGGCTCGAATTCCTCGGGCGCGTCGAGCTATCCGGCGGGAGCGCCTTCGACGCCGACGAGGAGCGCGCCGGCCGAGCGGAGACGGCCGCGGACGCCGTCGTCGCCGAGGCCGAGGAGGTCGTCGACGCCGGGGAGGACGTCGAGGACAAGGAGGACGTCGAAGGCAAAGCGGACGGCGCCGGGAGCGAGGCGGACGAAGAAGACGCGCGGGTCGAATCAAAGCAAGAAGTGGAGGCCAAGTCGCTCGACGCGCCCTCCAAGCCGCTCGCCGCGCCTTCGAAGCCGCCCGCCGCACCACCAACTCGGCTGATGCCCGCACCGTCGCACCGCGTCGCCGCCGCAGCGCCGGTGCTCAAGGCACGAGTCAAGCAATCTATTTGGGACACGAGCGCGACGATCCTGTCGGAGCAAGCGGGAGACTTGCGTGCGTCCCCGCGCCTTTGCGCGCGCGCGCGCCTTCACGCCAGCGCCCCGCGCAGGCTTCATGCCCTTTCTCGAAAAGAGGGATCCCTCCTCCTTCGTTGAGCTCTCGACGTGGAAAGGGCATTTGAAACCCGTCAAGAGCGTCGCGGTGTTCCCGTCGGGCGACCGCGTCGTGTCCGGGTCTGCGGACGAGACGCTCAGGCTGTGGGACGCGAGCACGGGCCAGTGCCTGGTGACGTGGAAAGGGCATTCGGACAACGTCCTTAGCGTCGCGGTGTTCCCGTCGGGCGACCGCGTCGTGTCCGGGTCCGAAGACAAGACGCTCAAGCTGTGGGACGCGAGCACGGGCAACTGCCTCGCGACGTGGAAAGGGCATTCGGACTACCTCAACAGCGTCGCGGTGTTTCCGTCGGGCGACCGCGTCGTGTCCGGGTCCGACGACATGACGCTCAGGCTATGGGACGCGAGCACGGGCGACTGCCTGGCGACGTGGGAAGGGCATTCGAACAGCGTCCGCAGCGTCGCGGTGTTTCCGTCGGGCGACCGCGTCGTGTCTGGATCTGGGGACATGACGCTCAAGCTGTGGGACGCGAACACGGGCGACTGCCTGGCGACGTGGGAGCATTCGGACGACGTCCACAGCGTCGCGGTGTTTCCGTCGGGCGACCGCGTCGTGTCCGGGTCCGATGACAACACGCTCAAGCTGTGGGACGCGAGCACGGGCGACTGCTTGGCGACCTGGGAAGGGCATTCGGCGGACGTCGTGAGCGTCGCGGTGTTCCCGTCGGGCGACCGCGTCGTGTCCGGATCCTACGACGAGACGCTCAAGCTGTGGGACGCGAGCACGGGCGACTGCCTCGCGACGTGGGAAGGGCACTCGGACGGCGTCAACAGCGTCGCGGTGTTCCCGACCGGCGACCACGTCGTGTCCGGGTCTACGGACGACACGCTCAAGCTGTGGGGGAGTTGCGCGATACCGCAGCCTGCGCCGGCGAACGTGCCGGTACCGCGGCCCTCCGTGGACGCCGCGAACTTCTCGGTGCTCTCGACGTGGAAAGGGCATTCATCAAGCGTCGGCAGCGTCGCGGTCTTCCCATCGGGCGACCGCGTCGTGTCTGGATCTTTTGACAAGACGCTCAAGCTGTGGGACGCGAGCACGGGTGAATGCCTGGCGACGTGGAAAGGGCATTCGGACGGCGTCACCAGCGTCGCGGTGTTCCCGTCTGGGGACCGCGTCGTGTCCGGGCATGCGGACAAGACGCTCAAGCTGTGGGACGCGAGCACGGGCGACTGCCTCGCGACGTGGAAAAGGCATTCGGGCTACGTCCACAGCGTCGCGGTGTTCCCATCGGGCGACCGCGTCGTGTCCGGGTCTGAGGACAAGACGCTCAAGCTGTGGGACGCGAGCACGGGCAACTGCCTCGCGACGTGGGAAGGGCATTCGAGCTTCGTGCTCAGCGTCGCGGTTCCCGTCGGGCGACCGCGTCGTGTCTGGGTCTAAGGACAGGACGCTCAAGCTGTGGGACACGAGCACGGGCGAATGCCTCGCGACGTTTTTGGGGCATTCGTACAACGTCTGCAGCGTCGCGGTGTTCCCGTCGGGCGACCGCGTCGTGTCTGGGTCTGTGGACGCCACGCTCAGGCTGTGGGACGCGAGCACGGGCGACTGCCTGGCGACGTGGAAAGGGCATTCGTACAAAGTCCTCAGCGTCGCGGCGTTCCCGTCGGGCGACCGCGTCGTGTCCGGATCCGCCGACAAGAAGCTCAAGCTGTGGGGGGGTCCTGCGCCCGCGAACGTGCCGGTACCGCGGCCCTCCGTGGACGCCGCGAACTTCTCGCTGCTCTCGACGTGGGAAGGGCATTCGAAAAACGTCCTGAGCGTTGCGGTGTTTCCGTCGGGCGACCGCGTCGTGTCCGGGTCTACGGACGAGACGCTCAAGCTGTGGGACGCGAGCACGGGCGAATGCCTCGCGACGTGGGTAGGGCATTTGAAGGAAGTCTGCAGCGTCGCGGTGTTCCCGTCGGGCGACCGCGTCGTGTCCGGGTCTGGGGACAGGATGCTCAAGCTGTGGGACGCGAGCACGGGCGAATGCTCGGCGACGTGGGAAGGGCATTCGCACTACGTCCGCAGCGTCGCGGTGTTCCCGTCGGGCGACCGCGTCGTGTCCGGGTCTTGGGACAATACGCTCAAGCTGTGGGACGCGAGCACGGGCGACTGCTTGGCGACGTGCAAAGGGCACTCGGACTGTGTCTTTAGCGTCGCGGTGTTCCCGTCGGGCGACCGCGTCGTGTCCGGGTCCGACGACAAGACGCTCAAGCTGTGGGACGCGAGCACGGGCGACTGCCTGGGGACGTGGAGAGGGCATTCGCACTACGTCCGCAGCGTCGCGGTGTTCCCGTCGGACGACCGCGTCGTGTCCGGGTCTTGGGACAAGACGCTCAAGCTGTGGGACGCGAGCACGGGCGAATGCCTCGCGACTTGGGAAGGGCATTCAAACGGCGTCGACAGCGTCGCGGTGTTCCCGTCGGGCGACCGCGTCGTGTCCGGGTCTGGGGACAGCATGCTCAAGCTGTGGGACGCGAGCACGGGCAACTGCCTCGCGACGTGGAAAGGGCATTCGGACTACGTCAACAGCGTCGCGGTGTTCCCGGCCGGCGACCGCGTCGTGTCCGGATCCGACGACAAGACGATCAGGCTGTGGGGCGCGGCCAGCCTGACGTAAAACCGGGCGAGTAGGCGAGACCCGCCACTCTGGGAAAGGACCCAAGATCGGTTAGCTCCGGCTACTTCGCGCACAGTCGCGGGCGGGTCGCCGAAGAGGTCCGCGGCCCCGGGGTCCGAGGCGGCCGGCGCCGCCGATCGCGACGGCGCCGGCGCGAGGCCCGCCGCAAAGGCGCACCACGCGCCAAATTCAGCGTCCGAGCCTCGCCGCGCCCGCAAGTGCGCCCGCCTCGAGGTGGGCACCTTGAAGTCGACTTTGAACGGTAACTTCAGCCGAGAAACCATCCATGTCGATGCGGCGGGCCCGCGGGATGCGCGCTTTGCAGCCCCGATGACGGCCTGATGGACGGCGTCCTCGTCGTGACGCTGCGCGGCGGCCTGCTGCTCTGGCACGCGGCCTACGCGCCGAACTTCGGGCTGCCGCGGCCGACGCACCCCATGAATCTGGCCTCCTACGTCTTCGCGCTCCAGAGCAACGCGTCGGCGATCTACGACGGCGACGACGACGCGCCGCCGGCGCCCGCCGCCGGCGCGGCGCCGGCGCGGTGCCTGCGCTACGTGGCGCTCGGCGCCGGGCCGACCGTCGACTTTGCGGAGTACGTCGACGGCGCCGGCGCCGCGACGCTCCTCTGCGCGGCGTTCACGCGGCCGGGCTTCGGGAGCCGCGCCCAGCGGTCGGCGCTCGCCGTGGACCTGCTGGCGCGCTTCGTCGCGCGCCACGGCGCCGGCGACGCGCCGCCGCGGGACCGCCGCGCCGCGGACCGCGACGCGGCGGCCGCCGTCGTGTCCGCGTACGCCGCGCGCCTCGCGGCCGTCGCGGCGCTCGCGGCGCCGGCGCCGCCGCCCTGGGTCGCGGCGGGGCTCGTC